CTATTTAACGATGTCTTTAATGACTTAAAAACAGCATCTGGCTTTTAAGGGTGATAAGGAGCGATGTTGGTGTGTGACACACAGAATCTCTAAGTCAGTGAGTTGTGATTACATAAAACAGTTCAAACGATACATGTTCACTAAAATACAATTCAAAATAATACATGTTTACTTCAATACAGTGTAGAATCATATCTTTTTACTTCAGTATGGAGGTTCAACTCTTGGAAAAAACTGATCTCTTGGTCGCTGTTGGACTACTACAAGCCCCAACCCTCACAGTCTGCCTCAGTGGGACATTCTGATAGACGGGTAACTTAAACACCAATTTACACCTTGTTTACCATGCTGTTCGTCTGTCTACTCACGTTTCTTAACCACCTAAGAAACACATAAGATATCACTGATAAGCTTATCCCAAGGCTGAAATTACTGTTACTCTTACATTTTGAATATCTATTCGATTTAATTTCACTGTTGCTTCTTCTGATATCATTTTTCTTTCCTCCAGGTGTCCATACAGGGATGATCGCTACTTGTCCGAACTGGTTCCGGTCGGGCCATCATCAGGGGCCTCATTTATAAAGCCTTGCGTAGGATTGACGTGGGAAGGTTGCTTACGTAGGACAAAGCAAATAAATACGCACAGACATTTTCCGATTCATAAAAGACTGCGTACCGGCGCAGGACTTGCGTACGGCACATCCTACGCCGGTTTCCCTTTATAAATCACAATCAACTCGAAATGCGGCGCAGCTTTTGCGGGCTTCACGTAAAGCCCATATTTGCCTATACATAGTCAAAGAAACGCCCATTCATTCATTCATTTTGACTGACTGCATGAAGAAGATCGCAGGAAATTACGATAGAACAGCTAACTCTAACCTACATCGTTTTGTATTTCTCAATTGGCAATTTTACCCTTTCGAACCTCTATATAAGAAGTAAAAGATATAAGGGAAATCATTTATATTGACAAAGCCAAATCATTTAAAAATATTTATTAACAGGTTAACTGCATATATATAACTGGATAAGATTACAAAGATCAATCTTCTGACTTCTTGAACTTTGCCAAAGTCCTGCTTTGACTCATTCTTGGACATCAGTCTCCTGCTAGTCTCCTGTGCTCTCTTGACCTTGTTCTTATAAATCACTTTACTTGTGTTGTCTTCTGTGATGATTCCTGCATCAATCAGAGCTGCAGTTGGTCTCAGCCCTATGCCATACCTTACACTAGCAAGCGCAATATTTGGAATATCATCATAGTTTTTCTGTACTTTTGTTGAAGCTGCAGGCTCAGGTTCAGTTTCAGGGAAGAGCTCAACTTCAGGGACAAACTCATCTTCAGCACCACTCTCCAATTCCAGATCCTCATCACCATCTGCCAAAAACCTCTTAACATCCTTCCTGGCTGCCTTGTCTGCTGCTGCAGCATTTCCCTCCTTGCTCCTTCTCCTTTCCTCAGCCATGTTTTCCATCCCCTGCCTTTCCAATGTCCTCACCTGTCTATTGTGCTCCTGCAGATCAGGGGCCCCCATTTGGTGGGGTCCTTTACTTCCAACCTTCTCTTTCTGTCCCTTGATGTATGCAAGATCTTTTAAAGGAATGCTTTTGTCTCTGCTGCAGGAACAGTTAATGTGGGCTTGGATCACACAGCCATCACAGCCTCCCCCCTCACAACTGGTAATCTGACACTTGCAAGTGAAAATATCAAATAATTTGTCTAACTTGACACTGAACCTCTCTTTGGCATCAAGTTTGCCCTTCCCAAGGGAAAACTACACTGCCTGATTCGACCTCTTTGAGCTTGGACATGATGGTCACCTTTTCATTAATAACAGGTGGCTTGAAAAGAGCATTTGCTTTGCTCCACTGACCAATCAGACCAGGGAAGATGTCACCCACCAGCTGGTCCACTGGGTAGTTCCTCCTGCCATCTTTACTTTGATCCCTCAAGTAGCTGCCATACCTCAGGATATCCCTCACAGTTGGCAGTTCAGACACCAACAGCTCTCGCCCAGTGCCAACAAGATTACTCAAATGAGAAGTAGACGTTGCCCTTCTTTTTGATGTAGGTTAGGTTTATCGGAATTTTAAAATGTTTGTGTTCTACACACCAAAATACGTTATTTGAACACCCCTCTCGATCGATTTACAAAAGAAAACTAGTATGGCCCGCCTAATACACCAACGCAGTTTTTAAAGATATACATTTTTCAACACAGAATCATTTACCAAATTACACCATATCCAATAATTTTACGAGTCAGAAAATGCTATCTGTTCATTGCAGTTATTGTTTATTGAATTAGATTACCATGAGCTCAACATAATTATGTAGAGTACAAGTCCACAGCCAAGAAAATGTTATTTGCATGTCATTTTATTTATGAATATGGAATTATGGAATTCTAACACTGGAGTTTGTTATTATTTACTATAACTTGATCATTCTGCTTCAGTTTGTGGGCTACAGCCAGTTTATGTTAGCAGCACGTTAACAGCTTCATCCTCTGAACGTGTGTACTGTCTGTTAAAAAAACTGCAGGAACCCAGAACATAGACAAAAAACATAACCCCCTTCACATCTCAACTATTGTAACGGGTCCCTGATATGACCACAGTAGCAGTGATGATACCTGTATTAAGCACCTTGCAGATCGCTTTTCTGATTGTTTTATTGCACAACAAAATCTGGCATATTAACTTTCTCTTCTATACATTTCAGTTCATTAACATTCTTTAATTAACACTTCACTTTCCTGACACAGTTCCATACATTCACTGTCAGTTACCCTTTTCTGTGATAAACACATGTCACTTGAATTTCACATTCAGTTGACATTTATTGTACCTTAAATACATTTTTCCACAGTATTAAATACTACTCTTCTAAAAACTTGAAAGTAGCATAGTAGCCCTTTAAACTGTCATGTCGAGCATTAACTGCAAGTCACTAAAATGCATAAACTGGAGAATAATTATGTTACAAGTATTACAGAAAACATATCCAAGTGTAACAAACATCCAGTATTAACCTTACTGTTTTTTACTAACAGTAACCAACTAATAATTTTCATAAAGTGCATATTTATTCCAAACTCACAATATATATATCCTTCCAGTAATAAAACGTAATGCACAATGGTACACAGTATCCAACTCTTTAGGCACTGGTCAGAGGCATTCATGTAAAGCAGATCACCAGAATCCAATACTGGTAAAAACGTTGCAGAGATCAAATGTTTCCTTGTCTGAAAGGAGAAACCTAATTTTAAAACAACATTTTCAGTGTGTGACTTGAAAGATAAGTTCTGATCAATAATAAAACCTAGATATTTGTATGTAGTGACCCTTTCAATGTCAGTCCCTTGAACAGTACAAATGTTGGGGAGAAAATAAGTTAACTTTTTGCCATTTGAGAATATCATGAGTTTGGATTTGTCTGCATTTAATACTAACTTGAGTTGAGATAAATGGGATTGAATAACATCAAAGGCAGACTGGAGGAAATCAAGACTTTGCTCTATAGAAGAGGATGAACAATAAATAACAGTATCATCTGCATAAAAATGGAAAGCAGCATTTGATAAATTATTACAGAGATTATTTACATATATGGTGAAATAATTGGTCCTAATATGGAACCTTGGCGCACACCCTTTGCTATAGGCAGGAACAATAACAATACATGTATTGGAAATATTCAGTGTGCAGGAGCCTTCAGACATAAACTGGAGAATAATTATGTTACAAGTATTACAGAAATCATATCTAAGTGTAACAAACATTGAGTATTAACCTGGCGCGTGCGGCGCAGTGGATAGAGCGTTGGTGTTCGGATCAGGGGAGCACAGGATCAAACCCCACTGCAGTTAGCATGTCGTTGTGTCCCTGGGCAAGACACTTCACCCCAAATTGCTGCTGTGGGGATTGCCCACAGTATTGAGTATGTAAGTCGCTTTGGAGAAAAGCGTCTAACAAGTAACATGTAATGTAATGTAACCTGGCTTGGTTGAAAGCCCACTCACCACGTCAAGGTGCAGGTAATGGGTGGAAAAATCAGTGTGTGTGTGTGTGTGGGGCACTAAGGCCAGCGTCCAGCCACAAGGGAGTGTGTGTGTGTGTGTGGGGCACTAAGGCCAGCGTCCAGCCACAAGGGAGTGTGTGTGTGTGTGTGTGTGTGTGTGGGGCACTAAGGCCAGCGTCCAGCCACAAGGGAGTGTGTGTGTGTGTGTGTGTGTGTGTGGGGCACTAAGGCCAGCGTCCAGCCACAAGGGAGTGTGTGTGTGTGTGTGTGTGGGGCACTAAGGCCAGCGTCCAGCCACAAGGGAGTGTGTGTGTGTGGGGCACTAAGGCCAGCGTCCAGCCACAAGGGAGTGTGTGTGTGTGTGTGTGGGGCACTAAGGCCAGCGTCCAGCCACAAGGGAGTGTGTGTGTGTGTGTGTGTGGGGCACTAAGGCCAGCGTCCAGCCACAAGGGAGTGTGTGTGTGTGTGTGTGTGTGGGGCACTAAGGCCAGCGTCCAGCCACAAGGGAGTGTGTGTGTGTGGGGCACTAAGGCCAGCATCCAGCCACAAGGGAGTGTGTGTGTGTGTGGGGCACTAAGGCCAGCATCCAGCCACAAGGGAGTGTGTGTGTGTGTGTGTGGGGCACTAAGGCCAGCGTCCAGCCACAAGGGAGTGTGTGTGTGGGGCACTATGGCCAGCGTCCAGCCACAAGGGAGTGTGTGTGTGTGTGTGGGGCACTAAGGCCAGCATCCAGCCACAAGGGAGTGTGTGTGTGTGTGGGGCACTAAGGCCAGCGTCCAGCCACAAGGGAGTGTGTGTGTGTGTGTGGGGCACTAAGGCCAGCGTCCAGCCACAAGGGAGTGTGTGTGTGTGGGGCACTAAGGCCAGCGTCCAGCCACAAGGGAGTGTGTGTGTGTGTGTGTGTGTGTGGGGCACTAAGGCCAGCGTCCAGCCACAAGGGAGTGTGTGTGTGTGTGTGTGTGGGGCACTAAGGCCAGCGTCCAGCCACAAGGGAGTGTGGGAGTTCATACAGACAATCCTGCTGATCTGAACTCTCGGAGGGGAAAACCTCCATATCCTCCATGTCCCTGAAAACAAACATGAAAGGCTCCTTAGCGTCAAGGTCTTCTCTCTCCAGTGCCACCATCAAGGCCTCCTTCTTCATTAATTGCAGTGACAATTTAGTCTATTCTGACATTTGTTTGTGTGAGTTCATCTTTACCTATGATATCTGGTTGCAGAAGGGACTGCAATAGCCTGGATGTTGGTCATCAGAGTAGATGCCTATCAATTCTCCTCTTTTACCTGTCCCAACATATCCTATGAATAGAGAAAGAAAATATTGTAATGACACATAAACAATATTATCCAGAATAAGAAGCCTACCTGGTTTGCAGTTTTTGTATAGCTCCAAGCATCCACGGCAGGTGTCAACAGTGTACATGACGTTGAAATCCTCTTTGTATGAAGCAGAGAACCAACTCCATGTAGCAACACCTGTGTAAAACAAGCCACATTTCAATAGAGCCAGTACAAATATGCAGACACCACAGCTGTTGTATACTGCTGCACCTTCACTGAATCACTTACTCTCAAGCCAGCGAAAGTGGGCCCCTCTTCTGAAAGACACAGTGGACATTGTGTCTCTGAAGGTGGTACACACTAGAGCGAGTGTTGAGTACGCTTTGTCACCTTCCTGGAGAACCATTTCCATCAGAATCTCCGCAAGAACACAGTTTGGCAGCTGTGAAGTATTGGTCAGACTAGATCAAACATATTTAACAACACATTGACTAGACTGTTGCCAGCACAATCGAAATACCAAGATTCTTTGGGCTTCAGGTAGCAAAAATACACATTTTTAATATTAATGTTGAATATATCACACACATTTTTTTTATGTTTAGTTATTCTTCTCCTTGAGGTAAAAAACAGCTATCAATAAAGTTAACAAAAGCACTGAGACATAATAGTTGGAAATTCTGCCGTGATCACAGGTCGTTTTTTAAACAAAAAACAGTTACTGCTTAACTGAAAATATATTACCTCCAATATGAAGCACATGTCGGACTTCTGAAACTGGACCTTTGAAGGAAAATATAAGGTGTGGGTCATGTGATTGTTTAATTACATGTGTATACAATTATCAATATTGATATGTATGCATGTGTTAAATAATCTCGATTGTTACATTTGTTTATCACAAACAGGAGTGTGCCTATCGGCCTCATGCTCACCTCATGTTCGGTCTTTCGCTTCTTTGGGACCCTGTACACTGGCTCCAGTGCCCCTTTGAGCAGCTCTCTGGCCTCATTGGTCCAGTAAGAAAACCTCTGTCCGTGGCTATAAAAATCATATAATATCAGGATGAAAATATAAATCAGTGTCAAAGAAACTGTTGTCTATAAAGTAACATTTAAAAGGTATGATTTACCCTTCAATCTGGTACCGTTCCATCAGCATAATGCACCACCATTTCCGGATCTGTGCTATGTCCCGCTAAAAGAAAATGTAACAATAATAAAGTTGAAAATGAATGGAACCTCATCATTTGTCTACTCAATGTTAGCCCCCTCTTCCCCCTGAAATACTAACTCAGTGAATAAATACTGACCTCGGTAAACCAAAGTGGAGCATCTGTGCTGAAGTTGAGTGCATACTGTGAAAGGATAAAGATCTGTGAAGTTATGAGTTTCAAAAATTAACAAAACCCCTTAAAAAGTGTCAAGAGAGGAATTTACCATCAGTATGAAGACACCACAGTCATTGCCCGTGGTTTGGTGAGGCAAACCCTGTAAGAATTGTGAATATAACAGTGACATGGTCAAAGGGAAAATAAAGACATGTGAAAGCAGGTGTATGAGATGGTGGAGAAATGTACCTTGACGTCTCTGCCGAACTTTAATGTCCACTGACCTGGAGCAATGCGGTGCGCTAGGTCACTGTCAAAAGAAATTATAAGACATGGGAATTGATTTGGTGAAGGAACGCTATACTCAATATAATTCATGTTTTTGGATTTCCTTACATTGAACTATTGCATGCCTTAAAAGAGGAAAGTTATGAAAGCCACTGAACGGGGCTAAAATAAAACAAACAAAAAGACGTTTACCAGCCTCTGAACAAAGCTGAACTTGAAAACAACCTTTGAACAAGGCTTATAACAAAATGAACATTATAATTCATAGCATCCTGTTGCAGACTTTCTTTTTTGGTTCCACTAAGGACACACCAGACTTTGTGGAAATGGAGATATATTATAAATGAATTTGATCAGATTCAGACCCCTGGTCTACAAGAGTGTTACTGCAGTATTAGAATACTATAAACTATTTAGAATTCCCATACAAGCCACAAAACGGGGCTGGGTAATCATGTTACAAAAACCTAAAGATGTCCTTGTACAAACTGTCACCAAAGCCATCTGGCTTAAGAGGGTCGAGCAAATAAAACACTCTCTTTGCTGGCTTGATCACCTGTCAACCATTTACAAAACAGCTGAAATTAGACATAATCCAACACCAGAAGAAAACCACACAGCACAACTTGTGTTAATTTTGTACCAGCTGGTGAGATCATTTGGAACAGACTCACGCAAAGCAAATAGTGATCTGCCTTTCCTTGCTGCCGACTCCAGGCAGGGATGAAAATCATGTCCTTGGTGGCCAATTGGTCAGCCTAGCATTTTAAACAAGGGATTTTAAGTTGCTGTATATCAATGTCAGGTCTCAAACAACAGGAACTTACTGGAAAACTGGCCAACGTGTCCGCTGTTTTGGACTTCCAGGTAGGAACCACATACATGTCCACGATGTATATATCTTTGCCCTATATTGATAGTTTTCCAAAATAAATGAAATCTTCATAGAAGTATGTTCAACACCAAGAGAAAACCACACTTCACGAGATTGGAGTTTCACCACTAAACAGCTATTTAGAAAATATGTGTTATTCAAAAGAAAAAAGCAGGCCAATGATGTCTGTTGAAAACCGTACATGTCTTTGGGTGGCTTCTTGTACCATCTTCAGGCACGTGTTTCCAATCTGAAACAGTAACAACAGTAAGTTACCTGTGCCATTTATTTGAGACAAGATAAAGTTGGCAGGAAAGCTCTAGTATACCTACATTTGACTCCATGCACTGAGGAAGACCCAGGCTCCAAAAGTCCTCTCTGGTCAGGCACACATCACCCTCCTTTACAATGACCTCTGCTCCAGGCCTATTGTGGTCTAGCACATAGCTGAGCTGCAAATAACAGATTGCAAAACATACTTCAAGCCAATAGAAAACATAGAAAAATTAAAATCAAAACAATGCACCTCCATCACTGTGCATGAAGTAAACATATATCTACCAGCATGTCTTGAATCGGATGTAGTTCCTTTGCGTATTTCGCACCAGAGAGGGCATACTGGTGGTCAGCAACTGATCCCTCCGAATCCAACTTCGGTTCAGCTGTTATTAGATACAAAAAATAAACAGTATTATTCAAGTACCACACATGAAGTATACCTAAAATGTGTCCTTGTATTGATAATCAAAATACCTCTCAACGTAGGCCTGATAAAGGGCTTCAGCTGAGACACATTCACACCCTGTCTCAGCTGAGCTCCTGTTGAGCTCAACAGGGTTGCCACACCCTTGTTGGTGATTGAGGAAACCACATAAGGCCCAAACCAGTTGCACTCCAGTTTTCCACCTTTTCGGCCCTCCTTCCTCTTATTCGCTCTTAGGACCTCATCTCCAACATTAATCAGGAAAGATTTCACATTCTTTCCCTTGCGTTTTTCAAAAGAGATTTTTTGTCTCTGTTGCGCTATCTGAATGTTCTGGTAAATGTGAGAAAGATATGTAACAGTTATCATTTACAGTCCTTAACATACGCTTGCATTTTTTAGGAGTTATTATGTTTTAAATATTGCCATTTTATTCTCACCTTCGAGTGCAAATCTGCAATGGTTGCAGCCTTTGCCTCAAGCTGCTGTTCTGCCTCATCAGCAGGCACCAAAACAGAGGTATCATCCCCGTCATTGTGTGTTGCATTTAATAAACCTGGGACGCGAGGGTGCCTCCCAAACTGGGCAAAATAGGGCGTGCACTTGGTTGACCTCTGAAAACATAAAAATTCCCTTTTAGTATCTCTGTTGAGTATTGTTTCCATCTGCATTTGTTACAACATTGTACCTGCTTTGAGGTGTTAATGCTCGCCACAATGCCCCTCAAGTGTACATCCCAGTCATTCTGGTCCTCTCCGCAGTACTTAGCAAGGCCTTTTTTAATTGTTTGATTTGTGCGCTCATCTTGGCCATTGCACTGGGGATGGTAAGCTGAAGTGATGCAGTGTTTTACACCCAGTGCATCGAAAACACCACGGTTGACCTGCAGATGGTTTAGTGTACACCAATTACCCTGAAAAATCGTATCATATTGTTACACATAAGACATAACACATACACTGTATTAGATAGATTATTGTACCTCATTCACAAATTCCCGTCCTTGGTCGGTAATGATCTTCTCAACAAGCCCGAAATCCAGAAGAATATTTACGATCTTTTTTGAGACCTCAGCAGCTGTTTTCCGGTAGAGCGTTTTTGCTACCACCCACTTCGTGAATAAATCAGTCGCTGTTAGAATGTATCTGCAATATGAAATGCAGAATGTTGTAAATACATACAGAATCACTGTCAATTATTTCCTTTCTTTTTAAACCAGAATCTTCACGTTTAGAACCTTTAAAGGAGGTTACACATGCCCATCATGATAGTACCTTTTGCCCTTAGCAGTGGAGGGAAGTGGGCCGATGAGATCCACACCAAGGACAGTCCATGCCTCAGGAACATGAATCGGATGCAGTACGGGTGCAACCGTTTTAATGGCCTCATGTTGCTGGCAGCGGGGACACTCATCAACCTTAGCAAATATCATACATTTTCAATCAGCAAAACAAAAAACTTTAGGTATAAAAATGATAGAACAGAGAAAACTTTCAGAGGAGACAGAATTAAACTGTTCAAGTTCTGAAATATGTTTAAGACAGCTCTGTTTCAATGTACACATACAACACATTTATGTAGATCAATAATCAGTCAGTCAAAAACTCCCACCCATTTCTTCACATCTTCCCGCATAAAAGTACACCAAAGTACTCCGGTGTGAACGCACCTATAGTGGACCAGTGGTACGTTGCCAAAACCTTCTCGGTGGTGCGCCTTTTCCCTGCATGACCTCCGGAACCCAGGTTATCATGGCACTCCTTCAGGACATCGATAATTCGGTCCTTGGTGCACACAACCAACCTTTCACTGCCCTTGCATGTGTAGTACAAATCTCCAGCTGGCACATCAGGAACAAAAAAACAATCATTTAGAAGTGTGTAGAGATGACATTATGACTAAAAGCTGTTCAAGAAATCCAGTGGCCTTGACAAGTTGCAAATAGGGTTTAGATGTAACAACTACAGTAATAGTGTGTATACTAATGAAAAGAAAAAGGAGAAACAAGCTGTGGAGTCCTTGCGATTTACTGAACATTTTTGGAATTGCAATATGATAAACCATTAGAGGTATGATCACTTTTGCACCAAAAAACACCATTAGATAAATAGATAGATATATACTATTGATCCCTAAAAGTAAAGGGAAACATATTACATGAGATATAAACAATATAAAAGATTCTGGATCATTTAAATGTTCTAAAAAAACTACAAAATACTTCAGTTAGGCCTAGTAAGTAGCAGGAATATGTGCTTACACTACAGGAGCAAAATCATGATGATGTCACATGTACAGGGGGTGTATACCTCATAATAAAAACGTATGTTCATGACTTAACCATGGTCTTATTCTGTTACTTACCTTTGATCAGGTCTTTTTTTGATGCCCTCCGAATTAACGCCTTCCTTGTATCAGGCTTTTCAGTGGCGATGGTGAGATTGTGGTAACCACCACTGAGCACATAGTGCTTTATCTCTGTATAAAAACTCTCCATTTCTGTCAAAGTTAAGAACAAAAGAAAAATGTCGTATATATACATATTTCATACATACTTTTTTTTGATAATCTATTATATTGTGTTATTTCAAGATGGAAAAATGATCTTTTTGATAATATAATAATATATAAAAGTATATCATATTGATATATAATATATAATTTTTTGATAATATATAATATAATCAAATATAACAATCAAAACGAAATAAGTAGTAGTAAGTATTAGGGCTATACTGGCACTTGTAAGCATTAACTTTAATTAATTTAAACATTGTAAATGTGGCGGGAACATATCTTATATTCTCCTTACCTTCAATTTCTGTTATTCTTCTCCTTCTCTCTCTCTACCTACACTCATTCGTCTTTTGATCAGACCCCCGGTATAGAGTGGTGAAGTCACGCCCATCTACTTCCGCCCCATGGGACTCTAGTCAGCGCCCCTGGGTAAATTACCGTACAGCCAATCACAATGCGTGACGTCATTGGTAAGCGACGGACCCCGAACACATCTGGTAGGCCGAACACATATGGGGTGTTTCTCAATCGCGAGTAAAGCTGCTTCAGAGCCACTATTTCAAGCATACTACGTCATCGAGTGCCGCCGAAGTACTGTTCCAATCTCCAGTATACTTGGAAATCTACCGAGCCCGGCGTACTCCGTTTGGAGAAATATCGAGTCTGCACATGAGTAGACTTCGCGGTCTTAAAATCCCCACAATGCTTTGCGCACGGACCAATTTCCCCAAATCTGTGGCGGAAGATGTAAGGCGGGGCCTCTCATATGACGCACACCTGCACACTTGCTAGCGTGTTCCACACTTCGTTTTCCGAATGCCAGGAAGTATTCTTGACTCGCTTCTGAAGCAAGATGCTCGGCAGACATGTGCTACCAAGCAAGCGTACTCGCGATTGAGAAACACCCATGGTACCTACACCGGATATGCACAGCTTGTTTGGACCGTTTGGAGCAGGGGAAGATCCGGGTACACAACCTGTAAGTTTGCATTGTTATTTGTGTATTTATCAAACAAGACTGTTTAAATGTGTAAACTGTGTTGGACTGCTAAGCCATTGACACAGTGCTAACTGTGCTAACTAAGTTGCTAGCCTTTCCATATATCAACTCTAATATCAGCAGATGGCCTTGCATACATGTATCTCATAGCAGGAGAATGTCTGCATTCACACACAAAATACCTATTGACAGTATACTCCGGGTGATTTGCCGTGCGGTCAGTCGCGAAACGTAATTACATTATAGCTGGCGTAGCGTGTATGCTACCGATCTAACCCACGGAGCTAGAGCTAGGTTTGGTCGGAAAAACATTTTTGTTATGCTACGTTGCTAGCGTTTAAATATATCAACTACAATGTCAGCAGATGGCCTTACATGTTTGTCATGGCAGGAGAATGTCTGTAGTCACACACACGGAATACTCATACAGTATACTCCGGGTGATTTACCGTACATTGTGACAGTACATATACTGCATGTATAGCTAACGAGGCTAGCTGTATGCTAGCGCAAAACAATGTATTCATGCAAGTTACATTGTATGACCGAACGTAGCAGAATACCCGTATACGATTGCAATTATAAACACGTTATTGCTAGCCTAATATGAACCACTAGCTTTTGTTCATAGTAGTTTTATTACACTGCATTATAGTTGCCTTTCCTCTAAGCTAACGTTCATATCGTGTTAGCTACCAAGGTAAACTAAGCTAGGTTAGCATATTAGCAGGCAAGCTGTTCATTACACTCCTACCACAACTACTACTAACGAATCTAAAACAACTAAGTTTCTCTAATATTTTGTGATTTGCATTTGATTTCGTCCAGCCAGATCCTGGCGGACAATCCATGACGGGGACGGGACTTCTACTACTACTGAGGCCTCGTGCTAAAAGGCACCGGCTGCGCCCAGGCAAGATGCGAGGAGGAATGGATGATATACCGTGTATATATGTATATTTATGTTCATTTTGTACATTTCTAAAAATAAAGTTTAATGGAAATACTTAGTAGGCCTATCCTTTCTTCCCTGAATTATTTGCTCCTATAACATATCATTCATATATAGCAAACCATGATTTGATTTCTCATCAAACAGTAGTAGTTTATTACAGGTAAAAATAACTTACTCTTTGTTATGACCGGCTCGTAGGCCACAACGGAAAGGCAAGGAGACATACACGAGTTTACAAAACCACGGCACATTTATTGTGGTAAATGCAGAGATAGGTGGTCGGGGAGAGAATCGCCGGGCCGCTGGGATTAATAGCACCGGCTACGGAGGTGTCCGTGATCGCGCTGATTACCCTCTTCAGCTCCACCCCACCGTAAGCCCTGCAACACACCTGCACAAAGGCCCTGGGGCCGTCACACTCTTCTATAACAACAGTTGTAGGTTCAGTTCGGTTAGTTAGCGTATAAAATATCAGCTGTACCGACGCCATTATTACACTGATGTTCCCCGAAAAAAGCGGGCGGAGCCTCTCTGGTGGTTGACTAATCAGAACAGAGTGGCCGAGCTGACCAATCGGAGCACACTAGGCTCACAGGGAGGGGGGGGGGGCAAGAGCTCCAACGAGTCGTTTAGTGGAGAGAGTGAATACTGCTGAATACACATGCTTGACAGAGTATGTATGCGAAACCAATGTGAGTTTGGAAAATTGCACAGTATAAATCTATTTTAGTATACCTCAACAATGTAATTATGATCAGTGGAAATGGCCATGACATGGGCCCTTTAAATGGTTCTCCTCTCTCCTGCAGTCAGCTGTGATTTCAGGTTTTCAGGCCTCCTCCCCATCCACCTCCTTTCATTATATCCAGTGCCAGGAGAGCTAATCCAAAGACATCATCACATCCCCTCTTCATCCCATCTCCTCATCAAATCCAGATCTTCAGCATCATCACCAGTGTATAGACCCTGGGGGGGTTCCCCTATATGCTCACGGCTGCATTTCCCCCTTTAGATATACGATTTCAGGATCGGGGTCTAATCGCCAAAGACTTAACATTTATCATATGGCATGTATAATATACATGCCATGCCGGTGTATATTATAACTATTTTTCTTTTTGTATTGCTCTTGCTATCTGTATTGTTATTATGTTGCATTGTTGGAGAAGCCTGTGACATAAGATTTTCAACAACATAATTACTCTGTAACTATGTCAGTTTGACAATAAAGAACCTTGAACCTTGAACCTTGAACCATGTGTCAATAAATGTTCAAACAAAATGAAGTCTCTCCTGATTGAAATATGTGTTGAAATAAACAACTGCAGTTCAAAATAAAAAATGGAATTGCCTAACATTTTTGTTGTGGAATTAATTAATTTCTTTCTTTAAAGGCAAAAACATGAAAAAGCTAAAAAGAAAACTAATGAATAAAATGTATTTGGAGCATCTTAATTTATAAATGGTTGTCAATTTAAAAACTTGTGTTCACAATGATGGTAATTAAGTACATACAACTTGAAATTCCTTTTAAATAATGTGGTAAAACTAGTTGGAACAAATTAATCTTTGGAGTAATCAACTTAAAAACTTGTATTCCGAATGAGGGTAATTAAAAGTGGGATTAAGATTATAAAGCCTCGTCGCTGAATAGTATGTTGGCCAACTAGCCGGTGCAATATTTTCAGAAAGAGAGCTGGCGTTATTTACCAAGATGAATAGAAACAAGTGTTGTCCCTGTCCTTGCCTTTTTTTTTCTTTTTAAACAAGAGCAAATGTGGAACAAATGGATAAAAAGTATTTTCACCTTTTCTAACCAATTTACCTACAGCAGCATGCCAGCACCTATCCGAGACAAGGAGCACATCTCCCCAACTCCATTTCAATCAGGAGAGACGGTTTTGATGTAAGAATACATATTTATTGCCAGGAATACACAAATGAATGTAATGGTGATTTTGGCGATTAGGCCCCGTTGTGCAGGAGTATCATTCGGGAGGGGAGAACCGATCCGATGAAACCCCCCCGGGGTCTAGACACTGGTGGTGGTGAATGGATAGTTGGGTCGGTCTGAAGAGGAGTGGCTTAGCTTGACCCTAAATTCAGAGGGACAGGAGGTGAAAAGGGGTGGAGGAGGGTTGCGTTGAGTCACCTGAAATGACAGCTGTCAGAGGGGGAAGAGCAGATTTAAAAGGTTTAGCAGAGCGCTATGATAGGCTTGTGAGAATAGAGCAAAGTGATTGGTTAAGCTGGGGAGTGACGCCCCCGATCACTTATTGAGAGGAGAGAGAGTAGTAACATAGAAATAGTAAAATAATGAGAAAAGACGGTCTTCCTGGTTGAACTTGCGCTGAGCTTCATTAGTTTATGGGGTTATCCAATTCTCAAAATGGCTCTAACCTATCTGTGGCACGCCTTAACAATGAGTCAAGTGAGGGGGGTTTCTTTTTGCACTTTTTGGGATAATTGCAAATGTATTGAGCAACAAAATAAAACATGTTATGCACTATAAATCATTTAAGCATACTAATTTGGTTAGACATTTCAATGTACAGTATGTGCCTAAAACCTATTTTTCATATTACACACCGACACAATTATCATTCCATAAATCAGTCTCAAACAGGGAGGAGTTCAGATATCATACAATTAGGATTAACAGCTCTCTGCTTAGCAAACAAAAATATATATGTAAATATGCTCATAACCACATACCTATTGGGTTGAAGTGCATATTATGGCAAACTTTGCTACAGATCCAAAGAAAATCAATATGTTCTTCATTGTGCCCTTGCAAAATAAACATTTAATGACAAATAAAGCTTGAGGCCACAACGACCTTTAAAAAGGTTTGTGTGACCCAAATGTTGGACTTGTCAATAAATACTTAAATGTCAAACTGTCAACTGGCCTGACTCGAAAGGACACGTGTTTTATCCCCTTAAAACACCCACACAACTGATCTTGTTACGTTTCCAAGAGCATTATCAAATCATCCATTCGAATAATAAAAAATAAACATTACATGATACACCCCTAAAGCTTTTGATTGGCTTTTGAAAAGAAAGGAAGCTATGATTGGAGGTTATTTTGCCTCAGAGGAGTGGTTTTCAAACATCAAACCTAGTCACATATAAATGTGGCAGCAAGGCTTAGTACTCTTGGGGACTATCCAGGTCAAATTGCTATGAAATCATGGCGAAGCACTGGAGTTTCACCTGTTTAGTGGCACTAGCCTTGCTAGGATGCTCAGTTAGAACCCAAGCTCAAGAAAAACCTCAGAACTCGCAAGACCCTTCACCACGGAGCTCACTACCTCGAAAACCTCAACATCCTCAATATCCAAAGCTCTCTACATTGCCACAGCCACCATGGATCCTTCCACATCCACATCCACATCCACCATGGATCCTTCCACATCCACATCCACATCCACATCCACATACACCATGGATCCCTAAAGATCCACATCCACATCCACATCCACATCCACATACACCATGGATCCCTAAAGATCCACATCCACATCCACATCCACATCCACATCCACATCCACATCCACATCCACATCCACATCCACATCCACATCCACATCCACCATGGATCCCTAAAGATCCACATCCACATCCACCATGGATCCCTAAATATCCACCACCATGGGGTCCTTATTCTGATCAAACGCTGCAGGTTCCAGCTCCACAGACACCAGTTTACAAACCAAGTGTGGTAAAGCAGCCTGCAGCACAGAGTTGTGTCGTTGCAGAAAACGTGAGAATCCCATGTGGAAGTTCTGATATCTCTGCCGCTGGATGTGAAGATATAAACTGCTGCTTTGATGGACGACAGTGTTACTATGGAAAGGCAGGTGAGCATTCTAAACGGCTGTCATGTTTGGACATAAATGGTTGATCCAAAAAAAAAGTGTTTAATCTTTCTGTTTTTTGTTTTTATAAACAACTTTGATCCATACCTGTTTTTGTGCCACCAGTGACTGTCCAGTGCACCAAGGATGCCCAGTTCATCGTGGTTGTGGCCAAAGATGCCACTCTGCCCAACATTAACCTCGAGTCAATCTCACTGTTGGGACAAGGGCAAGGCTGTACACATGTTGATTCTAATTCAGACTTTGCCATCTACAACTTTCCTGTTTCTACCTGTGGCTCTGTTGTTATGGTAAGCCTGCTTTTCTCTACTTTTCAGCTAATACAGATAGTTTTCAAACACTGTTATCCTATTTTTTTTTACTGTGAATAGGAAGAGCCTGGTGTTATAATCTATGAGAACAGGATGTCTTCCTCATTTGAGGTGGGAGTTGGGGATCGTGGAGCCATTACCAGGGACAGCTACTTTGAGTAGGTGGTACTTATTTCAATACGTTTTTAGTGTCAAAATAAAAGATCTGACCAAGCAAAGCAATGCCAGTTTTCTCTTTTAGATTGCTTTTCCAGTGCAGGTACATCGGTACTTCTGTTGAGACTTTGATTATAGAAGTATTAGATCTTGTAGCCCCTCCCGTACCAGTCGCTGCCCTGGGACCCATCAGTGTACACCTGAGGTTGGCTAATGGCGAATGCAATACAAAGGGTTGTAATGAAGGTAAGTGTGTGCAGCCTGTTTGTAGATCATTTTATGTTACTGGCTGTCATACTAACCTGTCTCTGCTCTCACAGTGGATGTGGCCTATACATCATTTTACACGGACACAGACTATCCTGTGACCAAAGTACTGAGGGACCCTGTGTATGTGGAGGTTCAACTCCTGGAAAAAACGGATCCCAACCTCGTCCTGACTCTTGGTCGCTGTTGGACAACTACAAGCCCCAACCCTCACAGTCTGCCTCAGTGGAACATTCTGATAGACGGGTAACTAAAACACCAATTTACACCTTGTTTACCATGCTGTTCATCTGTCTACTCATTGAGAAAACTGAATATAATTTTATGAATACCATAGTCCGATCGATACTAACAGAATTTTGAAGGCAACATTGAAAGACATTTCTTAATATTGTAAATTTTAGAGTTGAGAAATAAATGTGTCAGTGCTCTCTGGTCAACAACACACAATATGTTTCTCAACAACTTCAAAAATATATTTGGATTTTCCATCCTGCAATTACTTTTTGGTCAACAAAATGTTGCTGATAGCTTATATCACCAGGCTCAAATGACTGGCGTCTTTATTGTATTTAATTTCACTGTTGCTTCTTGATATCATTTTTCTTTCCTCCAGGTGTCCATACAGGGATGATCGCTACCTGTCCGAACTGGTTCCGGTCGGGCCGTCATCTGGTCTACAGTATCCAAGTCACTTCAGGCGTTTCATTTTCAAAATGTTTACCTTTGTCAACCCTAATTCAATGGAACCCCTGAGTGAACAGGTAATTGTTCAATCTAGTGTTTACTGCTGCAACTATTTATTTTTGTATTGCTCTGCCAATGCTATTTTTCTTGTTCAGGTGTTCATTCACTGCAGCACAGCCGTGTGCACTACTGGAGCGGGTCGCTCCTGTGAACCATCATGCTTCAGAAAAGGTAAGAGATGAATGTATAACCTGCAGAACTCATGTGAAATATGTATTGTATTCTGACATTGTTTTTATGTCTGTGTGTAGGGAGAGACGTTCGGGCTGCGGACAAGAGCAAGGCTCAGTCAAAGGTCGTGGTTTCTGTTGGACCAGTGATCATGGGCGCCCCTCAGCAGTAAACAGCACAGCTTCAAGCTCGCGAATCTGCCTGAAAACATTTATTAAAAGATTTGAAACATAAACACTGTTTAGTTTTTATTGGTGTGAAATGAAAATGACTGATAAATCAAGAGTATAGAGTTTCGAAGGGATAATTAATTGGATTTCTAAAGATTGTAGTCACAGTTGTATAAATAAATATTAGCTTTAATCAGGCCCGGCTCCAGGATGAGATGACTGAGGGGGCTGTTAAAAAATCCGAGGGGGCGATTTTTTTTTCACAACAACGAAAAATACTGGCAATGTAATTATTTGACACACCAAGCTTTTTTCCTTCTCACTGCTCTACAATCTCTTTGCTTCTTTTATTCCGGGTTTACCCCTCTCATTCTGTTATTTTCCTCTGATCTTTAATAATATATAGTGCAGATTATTAGATGGCTGCACTTTGGTTAACAGACTAACATTGATTTCCTCAATTTATAAATTGACAGGCTCTGTAATTATACCATAACCTTTTCTCCTCTATCCCTTAACTCGTTTTCCTATCAGATTTACTTACTATCTACTCTATATCAGGATTAAAGAAAAATTATTTTCAGGATTGAATGTTCAAACCAAGCCATTTCATAAGAAAGTGACTAATGTATAAACCAAATGAAATATTGGATAAAATACTACACCAAATGGACAGACACAGATTAAAGATTAAAATAAAGTCACCTGGTTTGTCTCTAGAGTCTAACTGCCATGAGAAAAATCAAATCAATGTTGCAAAATCCGTCACGAGATGTCGCTAATTGTACCAATACGGTTTATATAATACATAGGCCAAATAACATATTATTATTATAGTAAAAGGGCTCGCTTTGGCAAAAACCTGATCCATACAGGCTTTGCAGCCCTAAATAATAACAAGTAACCATCATGTGTGGTTCTATCTGTAGTTGTCTGTTCTTATTTTTTGTTGATTTCATATTGTTTTCACAGAGCTGTGCAAATGAATTTCCCCCTGGGGACATTAAATCTAATCCAAACTAATTTAATATTCAATCCCGTACTTGGCGATTGAGAACATAAATTCTTAATTGACCTAGTTTAAAGCACTTTTGTTGTAATACTATGGATTTAGTTGACACTACTAGCCGAGTTTCTTTTGTCCAATATCTCGCGGGGGGGGTACATTAAGGCCCAATCCCAAACCACGCCCTACACCCTACCCCTACACACTACCCCTCCGTGACGGATGAACTCCGTGGAGTGACACCATGGATGTATAATAAGAACAAGTGGGTACAAGCCGTACAAGCATGGATGGTACAAGCTGGGTAGGCCGTGCACATATGGTACCTACACCGGATTTAATGTTCTGTAAATATGTTCTGTTTATTTTTAATGCACAATATACTTTCTGTAATCATTTTTACTAACTTTTATAACAAACAGGTATTAGTAGTAAAACAAATATAATTAACTTTCTTTGAGTGTTTGAATAATAAATTCTAGCTATTTAATGTTCTTTATGTCTTGATGTGATCTCAGAATAATGTCTTTCGAATACGGCAGCAACTAACAATTATTTCCAATTTATAATGTGAATTAATCTGTTGGTTGCTCACCTTTGAAGCTGTAATTAGATCATTTTGTCAGTTTCTTTTTTTAAATTATTATTCAAATCAATTATCAAAATGAATTGAAATGTTGAGCTGCTCTCAGTACTGTGTCTGTGTCATTGGCCAGCAGACATACCCATTACACTCAAGACATTTTGTGTAATCATTTAATCTAAACATTTTGGGATAAAGATGCATCTTGTGAGAGGTCATATCCTTATTTTTATGTTCAAGGTGTGATACAGTATTTGAAGGGTTAGTATTTCTGACATAGCATTTAGCAATTGTACTCCATTAAAACAAATTGTAGTTCAGCATTTAAAATAAACACATTGTAGGAAATGCAGCATCACAAATATGTAATCAAGTCTGCACGTTTTAATTAATCTCATACTACATATCCATAATCCTGACTCCCACTGCCCTTTCGTTCAACGGAAATCTATACTTTTTTAGGCTAGACGAGTGAGTAGTAAGAAGACCACTACAGAACAAAGTATTTGTTTACTCCGACAGTAGCGTTCACTTAAAGGTACTCTTGTGGCCAAGGAGGCAACAACTCTTGTCTTGTCCTCTTTATGTAGAATTCAATACCGGAAACAGGGTTGGACTTGGTCCGTATTTACCAAATACCAAATGTACCAAAACAATACACATATTTTGAATGAACTGGTGAAGACCTGATTTATGAATACACATTTTGATTATTGATGATGACCTTAAAATACTCTTAAAACAGCTATTTTCTCAATGAAAAAAAGGAAAATCACCAGGTATTGACAGTACTTCAATTTGATTTTATATTAATTTTGGGATCATTTAAAAATAAAACTTGTCAAATTTAAACAACCAAATATCTCACATTTATAATATGCAGAATCAATTCATAAAACATATTATTTTTAATGTTTCACATTTTTAGAAAGTCTAGGGAGATTGAAAATGGGTTTCTTATAGCATCAGTCAAGCTGTTTGGTTTTGTAAAGAAAACAATAGCCCTGTAGTTATTAACAGTGTCGGACAAGGTAATCCTATTCACTCTTTTTACTTTTTCTGGTTGAACAGTTATCCCTCAAGTATTGGACATGATCAAGATATTTAAAGGATTTCTATAAAAGGGACAGAACTTCTCAGCAGATGATAAAGTATTCCCCTAAAAGATCAAGATTAGTTGCTGAAAGCTATACCACATGATGTTGGATAGTTTGATTACCTTCAGGTCTGATGCTCAAATGATCTATAAGCGAGTTATTGGCAAAACATTATGAAACATTTCCTGTGAAAAAAATTGATGAAGCTGTAGCCAGTAATGTTAATAAAAAATACCTTTTTCTCATATTTGCTCAAACCGTCGAGCCCAACTGACATTTAGCTGTTCCTTTTAGCTGCAAAATGATAAGAATTTGGACCCGGCTACCAGTCTAGTCACATCGAAGCACCAACTCCAGCAGCTATCTTTTTCCTATTGTGCATTTTTGAATGGCATATTACAGAAAGAGGTCATTTACAGAAAAGCCATTTTTTATTTTTTACAAATTAAATGTATTATTACAGGTTTGTCATCTCTGAAATCAGGCCATCCCCTGAGGATTACTGATGTCAGAGCTTGTAATACATCGTCCATCTCTGTGCGCTGGGCAATTTGGCGAAACCTGAAGTCAGTAACATCCAGATACTGTGCCTGATCCAGCTCTGAGTCCTCCACCTGAAAGCTGTCCATGGAACACACCGCCTGTCGTACATAGGGGGTGTCGGACTCGGAACCATGACACGGTGGAGTGGTCCTGCTTGGAGTGTCACTGACATACATCTCCGTGCCTGGTTTGTAAACAACTTCCAGATTGTACCCCTGGAGCTGCAGTAACATGCCCTGAAGGCGTTTAGGCACACTCATGAGGGGCTTCTTAAAGATGGTGATCAGTGGTTTGTGGTCTGTTTCTGCAGTGATTGTGTCCCTGCCGTATAGGTACTGGTGAAATCTCTGGCATGCAAAAACTATGCTTAAGCACTCTATCTCTATTTGAGCGTAGTTTTGCTCCGTCTGTGTCAGTGCGCGTTAGGCAAAGGCTATGGGCTGCCCCTTTTGCAGCAAGCAGCACCCCAGTCCATTCATGCTGGCATCACTCTGGATCGTTACAGGCTTTGTGATGTCATCATATTTGAGAACCGGTGTGTTGGTGACCATCCGCTTTATCTCATGTATTGCATCATCGTGTTTTGGCAGCCAGTGCGATGCCGTGTCCTTATCCAGGAGTCTGCGAAGAGGCTCACAGATCTCCGATAGCCTTGGCAGGAACTTAGCCAGATATGTCACAAACCCGATCATGCGTTGCACTGCCTTAGCATCCGTGGGCGTCGGCATGTCCAACATGTGGTGGCTGTACTCTTCCAGCCGCCTCCTTTGTGTTTGTTTTCCTTTTCCCTGTCTGTGTTTGTGTGGGCGTGGTGGCTGTCACTCCTGGCTCCCGGCTCAACCTCCACTCACCTGCTGCAATCAGCTGTGCACCCTCCCCGACTACACACCTGATTCCCATCAAGCCATTTACAACGGCATATCAGCGGAGGCTCCACAACCTGTCAGCACCAGATCGTTGTAAAACCCACAGTGGTATAACTCCTAGCCTACTTAGCATTGTTAAGCTATTTCCTCAAACCTGGATGTTTTTCTTATGTGTTTTCTTCTTGTGCTCCAGGATCATTCTCCGACCGCCGTGTTGTCGTCACCAGCCGCCATCAAGCTTGCACTGGAGAAAGGCGTCACGAGCGTCAACCAGTGTGAAGACACGAGCCTTGGGCAGTTTGTACAAGACGTCTTCTAGCGTTGGCATGTGGTAATGGACCTGAGAAGTGCCTGGTTGAGAGGCTTTGGGTCAATGCAGATTCTTATCTTGTCCGGTTTAGCTACTGTCACCATGTTGCTTATCCACGCTGTTGGCTCTGTCACTGGCGTAAGGTTGCCTGCTTTCACATGTTTGTCCAGCTCTTCCTTAACCCGGGCTTTTAGCGCTACAGGGACATTTCGTGGTGAGCACTGGACTGGTGTCACTTCAGGGTTCAGATCGAAATGAACATTACCTGGGACTGACTCGATCGGGTCATGGAAAACATCATGAAAGTCTTTCAGTAGCATTTCTTTTGTGAGTGGCATAGACTGGCTTGCATCAATATTGTTCACCTCCGCTGGCAGTGGCAGCTGAAATAGTGAATTTCACAAGGCCCAGATCAGTGCATGCAGCACCACCTAGCAGGGGCTTTTGTTTGGTGTTCACTATCTCAAACACAAGTCTGTGTGTTTTCCCCCTGACCACACATTCATTGTGAAATTTCCCCAGGGATGGCATGTATGTGTCAGAGTATAGCTTTAGCCTTGTTCTGGTCGGCTGTAAGGCTGTCTTTGGTGACAGTCTCTCTTTAAACTGGCGGCCCATAACATTGCAGGTGGCCCCTGTATCTAGCTGGCATAG